GTGGAATACAGATTTTTTATCGCAAGAATGTGACGTAATTAAGAATTGTATTAATATCAACATGTACGTTGTGATGCTGCCGGACATCTAAAAACAAAATAAGAAACATAAACAATGTATATATATATATATATATATAAAATTAATGAAAGTAAATAATTAATTACTTACTGTTGTAAGAAGCGTCGCATCTATAGTGAGACCTTTGGCAAAAAATATATTTTTGCGGTGTAGTATTTGTAAGGAAAATACCTGCAACTGCAATATTAGATTGCAAAATAATTCAAAGCAAAAACAAAAATGTAAAATTGAAAAACGCAATTACTTAGTAGGTTTAATGTTAGAAAATCTATATAATTAATGTTAAATTAATATACAACACATTTTCAGAAAAACATAAAATTACCTTTATTACCTCATCTTTGATTTGCTCATCGCTAGTGTTGTTAAGTAGATCGTGAATAGTGGTACGAATCTCTTGGGCCTGATTCTTGCCGGTCTCGCAGACCCACACAATAAACACCAAATGTCCAATGTGATATGCTAAGGCCATTATAGATGTGTCGAATAGGTGTCTATCAAAACTAATAAGTATCCCATTATCTTGCCAGCGTACTATAAAGAAATACAATTCAAAAGTGGTATTAGAAAAGATTATGATCATAGTAGCAAGGAGTTGCCCACTAAAGATTATGTTTAGCGTTTGCACTGAATCGCTGATCATAAGATGCCATTTTTTTAGAGCTTTGAGTTCTGCTATTAGGAAAAATTGATTTCTCTGTAGGTGGCCAATAAATGTAGGGACACATGATTTTGTATCGTTTACCACGAGTCTCTGCATGTGCTCCAGATTATCATTAATACTCTTGAAACATGCTTTTAATACACAAACACAATTTATATACAGCATACTTGTCTGAAACATCAGTATGATGTAATATATTGCTAATATCGTGTTCAGAATATTCGAATAGTCAAATATTGATATTTTGTAAAAATATATGCTTGTTTGCACGATCACGGTTGTAGTACCCCAAATGTCCTTGACGTAGATTAATCTGGATAATTTTTGATATGACTTTGAGGACAATTTCGAAGAGATCTTCAAAATAGTCTGCAGCAATCGCATTCGTGGACCGCTCAAGATATGCGTAATGATCAGTATGAAACTGCTGCATATATGGTAACAGAGAGCCTCAAGAGTTCTGGTCACGTTTCTTGAATTGATTTTAGAAATCAAATTGTAAATGAGTACCAGATTGTAAATGCAGCCAATCACGCAGACAATCACGGTCGATAAGATGTAGTACGGTTTTGAAATCTCGAAAGTCGAAGCATTAATCTTATACGGAAGCGTTCCGAGAATGCGACAAACGATGAAACAGGGGTACATTAAAGATTGAAAATCTGTGGCGTGATACAACCATCCTCTTTTCCACATTTTACCTTTAAAATCCTTGAATTTTCAAGCTGAACACGATTAATAGATATTTGTGAGAGAAAAACAATTTATATCATAATTTACATACTAATTGTTACTAATCACTTTAAAATTAATATAAATGATTGCGAGAATTTCTTTTCTAAATGTAATCTTCAAGTTTGTTCTCTTCGTAACAAATGTGTAAACTGATATTGATTCTTCTCTTACATTCCATCTGCACTCGCTGAATTTGAGCTCAAAACTGCGAGTAATTGCTGCATTAACCAAAGAAGTAAAGCTGTAGAAGCCATTTGTTAGTCATGAAGTAACCATGGCATTTTTCGATCGAAATTTATCCTTCTTGTATAAATAGATGAATTGCATAAAAGAATGCCGTATAATTGTTGCAATATATAACTCAACAAATTATGTATATACATTAAATAGGAAGTATGGATTACATTATTTGTATAAATCAATTAATCTAATAATCCATTAACATGTATAACGATTGTTCGATTCCGAATTAAATATTCTATTCCTTTTGTTTCCTTTTTTCATTGATATCTACATTACGGGATGTTACATGACGCACTGTATAAGCTGAAAATTTATATCTCTGATATAAATTGAAATGGAAAACATAGAAAAAAACTCTTTTTTTTATTAATACATATCTTCTTTTTTACGATTAAATTACTCATGTATTGTTGATTACAGATTTTTCATCACAAGAATGTGACGTAATTAAAAATTGTATCAAAATTAATATGTATGTCGTGATACTGCCGAACATCTGAAAACGAAATAAGAAAGATAAACAATATATACATCTTAATAATTAAAACAAATAAATGATTACTTACTGCCGTGAGAAGCGTCGCATCTATAGTGAGACCTTTCGCCGAAAATGTACTTTTGCAATGCAATATTTGCAAAGAAAACAACTCCAACTGCAACATTAGATCGTAAAATAATTCAAAATAGAAACAGGAAAAAAAATAGGATTGACAAATGTAATTATATTTCAATAGGTTTAATGTTTAATAAAATTACGTTAGTTTGTTATACATTTTTAGAAAGATATAGATAAAATTATATTTTACCTCGTCTTTGATTTGTTCATTTCTGGTATTATTAAGTACGCTATAAATAGTGGTACCAATCTCTTGGGCTTGATTCTTGCTAGTCTCGCAGGCCCAAACAATTAGCGTTAGTTTTAAAATATAATACACCATGGATGTTAAAAATACATCAAGAAAATACCAGTCAAAGGTAATAAATACACCATCTTTCCAGCGTACTATATAGAAATAGAGTTCAAAAGTGATTTCAATAAAGGATATGCTTACAGTAGCAAGAAGTTGCAGACTGAAAATTAAATTCAGCACTCGCACGGTTTCGCTAATCATTAGATGTTGTTTCTTCATGGTTTTGAGTTCTTTCAGCAAAAATTGATTCTTCTGCACGTGGCAAATTAAACTGGTAACGCATAGCTCTATATTGTTTACCATAAGTCTTTCCATTTGCATCAAATTGTCATTGATACTTTTGAAACAGGTTTTTAATACACAAACACAATTTATGTATAACATATTCATCTGAAATACCACTGTGTTTATATACATTCCGAATAGGACATTTAAACAATTCACTTCTAACTGCGGGTGCACTTTAAAAAAAAACAGATATTCCTGCATAATTAGGAGGATGAGGCACAAGATGTCCTTGACATGAATTATTCTGGATAATTTCTGATACGATTCCGATGATAATTTCGAAGAGATTTCCAAAGTGGTTTGCAGTAAGCGCATTCGTGGACCGCTCAAGATGAACGTGATGATTACTATGAAACTACTGAACGTACAGTAACAAACAACTTCAATGTTTTTCGGTACATCTCCGTAGGTAAATGTTTTAGAAATAATGATACTGTGAATGAGTATCAAGTAACAAACGCAGCAAGTGCAGATAATTACGCTCGACAAGAAGTAGCATGGTTTTGAAATCTTGAAAGTCGAAGCATCGATCTTGTATGGGAATATTACGAGAATACGACAAAAGACGAAGCAGGGATACATTAAGGATTGAAAATCCGTGGCGTGCATTAGCCGCCACTTTTTTCGTATCTTGGTATCCATGGTATATGTTAGAATTTTTGAGTCAAACATGATCCACAGAAATTCAATAACAATGTATCACAGTCTATAGTCTAAATGTTATTAATCAATACACTATAATATTGTTACAAATACAAACGCTCTTTTTCTAAGCGTAATTTATAAGTTTGTCTCTTTGTATCAAATGTATCAATTATTATATGATCGCTTTGTACACTCGATGAGTTTTAGTTTAAAACTGCCAGTTAAATGCTAAAAAGAATGCTGGAGAAGCTATTTGTTTGTTACGAAGTAACCATGGTGTTCTTCGATCGGCACTTATCACTCTTTGGATAAATTAATTAAGGTGGTTTTATCGAACAAGTCCCAGTCAAAAGTTAGTCCCTCCATATGGCTAATAATTCCAAAGAGATTATATGCATAGAGCTGAAGAGGCGTAGCAGCCCCTTTGAGGAAGTATGAGCTGATAGAAAAAGAAAGAAAATGGTAGAGCGAGGGGTACATCCATCTTTTATCTTTTTCTCGCATGCGCGATTGAACAAGGATGTACATGGGCGACTCGTTTTCTGTCTCTTTTTATGTGCTCACGGATTCTTAGAGACCTGGCTCCTCTACACCTTGAATAATTCAATAAAAACATTTCGCATAGACTGTACATATGCGATTGTGTGACGTTTATGTGACAATGTCACACGTTAAGCAATAAAACCACCTTAATTCGTCATAAAAAAATGATAGTGCAATTGTTTTAATGTACTTAATGAATTATTTGTACACATATAAAGAACAATGTAGGACATTATAGGTAAATTTTAATACTCGCATCATCCAGCAACTCTAACAGGAGTTGATCGTTCAATTTTAAAATTTTCTTTCTCTCGTGAAAAAGTTTATTAATGATGTATTAATATAATGTATTCAAGCAAATTAATTGTTAAAATTTTATTTTAAATTAAATTTAAACATGATTTTTATAATATCTTTGTACTTATGGACATAAATATATGTACATGCATCTATATATGTATGCATCACAAATATAAAAAGATATGCGATTATACGTTCACAACAACAATATGTAAAATTCAAAGCCATTTTTTTAATATTTAAAACGCATTTGCTTGTTTATAATTACTGTGTCTTCTTTTAATTAGATTACTTTTGTATTATTATTTACCGTCTTTTCCTCGCAAGAAAATGACATATGCTTGAATTGAAATAATATTATTAAGTACGTATTAATGCTACTCACTATCTAAAAATAAAATTAAGAGAGAAAATAATGCAATCCTGTCAACTAATAACTGAAATATATATAACATATTACTCACCGCAGCGAGAAGCTTTGCGTCCACAGTAAGACCTTTTGCAGAAAATGTATTATTGCAATGAAGTATTTGCAGGGAAAATAGTTTCATCTACAATCACAAAATCGTCAAACGTAAAATTTGAAAAACGTAATATAATAGATAACATAAATATAATAGATTAAATTTAACAAGCACACAAAAGCACTGAATTTAAAAGACAAATATTATTTCGATATTTCATTATATTACTTCATTTTTTATTTGCTTATCGGTGGTGCTGTTAAACATATTATGAATGGAAGTGCTGATCTGTTGAGCCTGATTTTTGCCCGTCTCGCATGCCCACACTATCAATACTATTTTCATAAAGAGATACATCGTGTATAAGAGATGATGCGCGTCATATAATCCATTTGTCAGCATATTTCTTGATAAATGCTCCCAACTCAGTATGTAGTAGAGATTGAAAGTGATATTAGAGAAGGTCATGATTACTGTAGCAAGAAGTTGTAAACTGAAGATCATGTTTAGCATCTGTACTGTATCGCTGATCGCCAGATGTTGCTTCCTTAGAGCCTTGAGGTCCATGATCAGAAATTGATTCCTCTGATAGTGATAGTTTAGTTCCACACATGTGGCATTATTAGGGACATGTGACTTATTGTTTGCAATAAATTGTCTCATATTCGTCAGATTGTCATCGATTTCTTTAAAACACGCTTTTACTACACAAACGCAATTCATATACAGCATATCCAGTTGAAATGTCACTAGATTAATGTACATTTCAAACCAAAGATTTATTTGCAGTGTCAAAGCGCATATGAACACGAATCCAACTACATAAAGAATTCCGATGATATCCTTAGCGTGGATCAGTCTAGATAGCTTCTCGTATGATTCCGAGGGCAATCTTGAAGAGATCTTTAATATAGTCTGAAGCATATGCATTCGTGGAACGGTTAAAATGAACGTGACAATCATTATCAAATTGCCAAATAATAAAACGCTGTCACCCCCAAGAATCGCAGGTAATAATAACATATCGATTTTTCCAAAAATGGGTGAGCTGTACAGCATTATGAATGCATAAGTGCTACAAACGCAGACAACGACGATTGATAGAATGTAATATGGTTTTGAAATTTTGAAAATCATAGTATTGTTTTTATATGGAAATATTCCAAGGATACGACAGAAAGTAAAGCAAGGATACAATAGAGATTGAAAGTCTTTAGCATGGAACAATCGCCATTCTTCTTTTTTTTGCTTATCTCTGGATCCTCTTTGCAAATTCGATGACAAATTGAACATGATCAGTGATTTGTCATGCGAAAACAGTGTACTAAATCAATCGTGGACAACAACCTTAAATAAATTATTAATCGATGAATTATTATTAATGCATTTTGATATAAATATGAGTATATCACGAGAGAGTTTTATTTAAATAATCTTTTCGCTACTTCCGTCTTTCTACGTACGTAAACCGATATTCGATGGTATTCGTGTCGATGTACACTCTATGAACTTAATTTCAAGACTGCGTGTAATTGCTATGAAGGATTAATATGTGACATATGACTCATCAAATTATATGTCTACACAGGAAATGGCTTGTATCCCTATGGATTGTTAGCTTTTAAAAATGCATTTGTAATTATCTATTTTCTAATGGCATTCATATTATCTATTTTCTAATGGCCTTTTCTAAAGTCCATAGTTATACATTCTGCGTGTAAGATATTAAACATCTTTACCATATTACTTTTACATATTATTCTTGGTTGTTTCTATATTTTTATGAATGATATTTATAACATATGTAAGATCTGATATTTGTAACATACGTGTACGTTATCTGTTATAATTACATATGTATGTATAATAAATATGGAAAGCGTAAGGAAAAAAAATGAAATGAATGAATTGATGAGAATGCAATTACAATGCTATTATATTGATTAAAATTTTTTTAACTATATATTTAAGTTAAAATTAATCGACATATTTTTGATGATAAAATTTTTAACAGTCGTCATAATCTATAGACTACATGTTACTGCAGGATCACAGTTTCTTTTCAGCAAAAATAAAAGCTGTAATAGCGATTTATCTTAAACTTAATATTAATACAAATAGTAGAAGATTTCATTTCTATGTACATATATACGCGGTTTTATATAAACATCGAGAAACTATTTTCTCTATTTGTGATATATATTGTGATATACCTTTTATACAACTGAATTACTTGTAATACTGGTTTCAAACTTTTTATCGCAAGAATGTGACGAGATCAAAAACTGTACCAAAATTAACATATACGTCGTGATACTACCCACCATCTGAAAATAATAATTAAAAATATAAACAATATATGATTAAAGTAAATGATTGATTACTTACTGTTGTGACAAGTGTCGCATCTATAGTGAGACCTTTCGTTGAAAATGTATTTCCGCGATGCAGAATTTGTAAAGAAAACAACTGCAGCTGTAATGTCAAATTGCAAAATAAATAAACGAAAGAAAAGAAACATAGAAACATAGTAAAACGCAATTGTAGATTCAACTTTTTTTTTACTAAATTTGGTAAATATATATTTTTAGAAAAAAAATATACATAAAATTGTATTTGTATTACCTCGTTTTTAATTTGTTCATTGCTAGTGCTATTCAGTACATCATGAATGGTGGTGCCGATCTCTCGGGCCTGATTCTTGCCGGTCTCACAGGCCCATATAAGTAACGTTATTTTAAAAATATTTAACGTTATTGATATCAAAAATACATCAAGAAAGTTCGTATCAATCTCAATGAGTATCCCATCTTGCCATCGCACTACATATGAGTACATTTCAAAAGTGATATTACAAAAGAACATGAATATAGTAGCAAGAAGTTGCGGACTGAAGATTACATTCAGCATTTGCACTGTGTCGCTAACAATCATATGTTGCTTTTTCAGCTTTGTAAGTTTCATCAAGAAATGTTGATTTCTCTGCTTTTTGTAAATGACTGTGGGTACACACGACGTTATATCGTTTACTACAAGTTTTTTCATATGTGTCACATTCTTGTTAATTGTCTTGAAACAGTTTTTTAATACACATATACAATTCATGTACAACATATTTATCTGAAATTCCAGCAGAGTCAAGTACACAGTGAACACCACAGGCAGGGCAGTCAAATAATTGATTTCAAACATACGTTGTTTAGAAAAATAAAAGCATATTTGCATGAATAAGAAGATAGTACCGAAGATATCCTTGACATGGATTAATCTGGACAATTTTTGATACGACTTCGGAGGTAGTTTCGAAGAGATCTTTAATATAGTCTGTAGCAAACGCATTTTTGGACCACTCAAAATGTGTGTTACAATCACTATAAAGCAGCTGAACGTATAATAACAGACAGCCTCAAGAGTTTTGGTCACGTCTCCTAAGTCGATTTTATAAATAAAATTGTAAATGAGTATCAGGTCATAAATGCCGCAAATGCCAACTATCACGGTCGACAAAATGTAACGCGGTTTTGAAGCCTCGAAAGTTGAAGCGTTGATCTTGTATGGAAACATTCCGAGAACACGACAGAAAGTGAAGCAGGGATACATTAAAGATTGAAAGTCCATGGCGTGGAACAGCCACCATCTTTTCCATATTTTGTATTTTTGAATTTTCAAATTGAACATGATCAGTAGAAATTCATGGGAGAGTAATAATCTATATCATAACATCTACAGCCGAAATATTATTAATCAATACACTTTAAAGATTAATATTGCTGTGAGAGTTTCTTTCCTAAGTGTAATCTTTAAATCCGTCTCTTCGTAACAAGTGTAAACTGATTCACTTTCTATCTATTCGAGGCACTTAAGATTAAAACTACGAGTAAATGCTGCATCAAGTAAAGAGATAAAACTGAGAAGCCATTTGTTAGTTGTGAAGTAACCATGGCGTTCTTCGATCGGTATTTCTTACTCTTGGGATGGATATCGTGAAGGAATTATGTTTAATTGTTGTATCATATGACTCAACAAATTATATACGCATGCATGAAACAAAAAGTATAAACAGCATGAATCAATAACTCTAAGAAACTACATTAATAACAACTGTTCAATTTAGAACTTTGTATTCTCTCTCTTTTTTTGCCGCAAGCAGATCATACAATATCTTCATACCACGTTTCTGAGATTTAACGTGATGTATGCTATCTGTAAGTTAATTTTTTTAATAATAAAATATTTATAATATGTATGTAAATATCTTGATTTACTTTTCTTTTTACTTAAATTCCTTTAAGCAATCGTAAATTATGAGATCGAACATATTTCATGGGATTGTTAAAATATATTAACTCCCTTTTGATATACATATATGTATGTATGTTAGTATTTATGTATGTGTGTGTACGTGCGTACGCGTACGTGCGTGCGTGTGTGTGAGCAGTACTGTACGATTATAATAAAATCATTTCTATGTAAGTATAAAAACTTTAGTTTTATTCTGTATCTTCTTTTATAAAATTCTGAATTCCTCATGAATGTAGGTTATAGAGTTTCCATCGCAAGAATGTGACGTGATCAAAAATTGTATCAAAATTAACATATAGGTTGTAATGCTGCCCACTATCTGAAAAAAATAATAAAAAATATAAACAATATACATTTTATTAATTAAAACAAATAAGATTACTTACTGTCGTAACAAGCGATGCGTTCACAGTGAGACCTTTTGGCGAAAATATATTTTTACAATGCATAATTTGTAAAGAAAACAACTGCAACTGCAACGTCAGATCAGAAAATAACTAAATGCAAGAAAGAAAACATCAAATTGAAAAATGCGATTATATTTCAATAGGTTTAATGTTAAAAAAAAATCGCCTTAGTATACGATATATTGCATTTCCAGAAATATGTAGATAAAATTGTATCTTTATTACTTCGTCTTTTATTTGCTCATCGCTGATGCTGTTAAGTACGTCGTGAATGGTAGTGCCGATTTCTTGGGCTTGATTCTTGCCGGTCTCGCAGGCCAACACAAGTAATGTTACTTTCATGATATAAAACATCATTGATGCCAAAAGTACATCAAAAAATTGCCATTCTAAGTTAATCAATACCCCATCTTTCCAGCGCACTATATAGGCGTACAATTCGAAAGTGATTTCAAAATAAAATAAAACTATAGTAGCTAGAAGTTGCAGGCTAAAGATTGTATTTAGCGTTTGCACTGTTTCGCTAACTATCAGATGTTGTTTTTTAAGGGTCTTAAGTTGTAGCAGCAAAAATTGATTTCTCTGCATATGCCAGATTAATCTGGAGACACGTGGTTTTATATCATTTATCACCATACTTTGTATGTGTGACAGATTGTCGTTGATCTTCTTGAAACAGGTCTTTAATACACAAACACAGTTCATATATAACATATTCATTTGGAATATCATCATGTCCAAGTAAATTGTAAATAATACTATTACAATATTCCAACAAGTTAGTTTAAACATCTCGGTTTTAGAAAAATATATGCATAATTGCACCAATAGCAAAATGTTGCCCAAAATGTCCTTGACATGAATCCATCTCGATAATTTCTGATATGATTTTGAAGGTAGTTTCGAAGAAATTTCCAAAATAGTTTGTAGTAAACCCATTAACGGACCGCTCAAGAAAAGTGTGACGATTACAATGAAACCGCCGAGTGTATAGAAACTTATAGCCTCCAAATTTCTTGTTACATCTCCAAAGTTGAATATTTTTGAAATGGCAATATTGTGAACGAATGCCAGGCTTAAGACGCAGCAGACACAGGTAATCATAATCAATAGGATATAACGCAATTTTGATGTTTCGAAGGTCAAAGCGTTGATTTTATACGGACATATTCCAAGAATGTGACAAAAGTTGAAGCAGGGATACATTAAAGATTGGAAGTCCGTGGCATGAAATAGTTGCCATTTCTTCCGCATCTTAGCGTGTCTTTGAATTTTTGAAGTGCACATGAATAGCAAAAATTTGTGAAAAAACAACAATCTATATTATATATTCTAAAACTATTATTAATCACTTCACTATAGCATTAATTCAAGTGTAATTGCTTCTTTTCTAAGTATATAATCAAGATCGTTTCATCATAACAAGTGTGTAAACTGATATGTACTCTTCTGTCAGGTCTACTCTCGATAAGTTTAACTTCAAAACTACAAGCAAATGTGTCACACACGGAGTCGTCAATACGGAAGAATCTATTTGTTATTCGCGAAGTAACCATAGCGTTCTTCGATCGACGTTTATCGATGCTTTATCACTCTTCGAAATTGCGAAACATGTGACTCAACAAATTGCGCATACATAAGAAAGCTAGACTATATAATACATGCATATTTCTCCTATCATAGTTCTAAAAAATCCAGTAGTAATAACGGTTAGATTTAAAATTTAATATTTTTTCTCTTTGCACAGAGTGTATACTATTTTAGTATATTTTAGAAATATATTTATTACATCTCAAAGAGTACAATATAACAAATAAAATACTGATATACATTTAGACATGGTTAACACCTATATACGTGGATATACAAGTCTTTGACATTTATGTAACAGCGTCTCTATATAAATAGAAACACCGCGTGATTATATATTATAATATAGTAACGACAAAAAATATTTCCATGTCTAATACATTTTTATACATAATATTTATTTATGTTGTTCGCAAGAATGCGACGTGTCTAAAAATTGTACCAAGATTACTAGGTATGTAGTGATATTACCCACTATCTAAAAGTAAAACAAAAAACGTATGTAATACATATTTTAATATTTAATATTTAAAACAAATAATTGATTACTTACCGATAAAAGAAGTGTTGCGTCAATATCAAAACCTTTCGCCGAAAAAATATT